AAATGTATGTACATACAAATTAATACTGTAATGTAAAAATTCATAATTTCTTTTATAATATAACAATCTTTCCCGCAGCAACGCGCGGGCAAAAAAACTAGTTATCATTAAAAGACAATTTCTTTTTTACTTTTAACAAATTTTTTTTTTTTTTTACTCTTAGCGATAATAAGTTTTAGCGACGACAAATGTCGTCGCAAAAGGCCATTTTTTATAGTATAAGGAACCACTAAAAACCACGATAAAATTTGTTCTTATGCCAATTGTCATAAAATTTCAGGACCAACACTACTAGCATGAGTGAGGACATGCTCGTTGAAGTATTCGGAAAAAAGCGTCGCCATGAAAGGAAAATGTAAATTTCAGAGTGTTTACGTTGAGTAGTAAAACCCACTTTAACAAGGAAATTAATAGTGTCTGAAAGGTATGTCGAGCCAGGCCACTTAAAAACTTATTCTAGCCAGACCACCTTTTAAAAAAAATAATTTTAGAGAAAAATGTAAAATTTATTTTTAATAGTGCATGAATATAAACTTTTACATATCATTCTTAATTAATATATTTTTATTAGTATAATTATTTAATTAACGGTGTCTGAAATCAAAAATCTTTACCCGTACATTTTTATAAAGAGTATTTATCTCTTTTTTTTTTATTTTAAGTTGAGATGTAACGTTATGTGAGAATTTTTTATATAGTAAAAATAATTAAATGTGATTATTTTTTAAAATTTTTTATTGTAATAAAATTTAAATTTTAAACTCGAATCGGCGAAATGAATGAATTATAAACTTCCGGCGTGTTGGGCTTTAAAGTCTCAACTTTCACCTCTATCCAAAGCACATAAAACACAAAGCTAGCGCTCAGATGTCTCTTTGGCGGCAATCCTGAAAGCGATAATTGGGCTTTCTCTGTTTTCCCTCCTCATTCAAAGCCCCTAAACACCCTCGCCAATCCATCCCGATAATGCGAGTTTCTCAGACTAGGGTTTCCAATTTCAATGGAAGCAAAAATCCCCTCTGATTCCCCAATCATACGACCCATAAACAAGGGTTCCGTCCACAGAATCTGCGCTGGCCAAGTGATCCTCGATCTCCCGTCAGCCGTCAAGGAGCTGGTCGAGAACAGCCTCGACGCCGGCGCCACCAGCATCGAGATCGCCCTCAGGGACTACGGCAAGGAGAGCTTCCAAGTCATCGACAATGGCTGCGGCATCTCGCCCAGCAACTTCAAGGTCCTCACGCTCAAGCACCACACCTCCAAGCTGGCTGATTTCCCCGACCTCCAGTCGCTGACGACGTTCGGGTTCCGAGGGGAGGCGCTGAGCTCGCTCGCCGCTCTCGGGAGTCTGACCGTCGAGACCAGGACCAAGAACGAGCCCGTCGCCACGCACCTCAGCTACGATCAGTCGGGGTTGCTGGTGGCTGAGAAGAAGACGGCGCGGCAGATTGGGACCACCGTTACGGTCAAGAATTTGTTCTCGAATTTACCCGTGCGAAGCAAGGAATTCAGTCGAAACACAAGGAAGGAGTATGGAAAGCTTATTTCTTTACTGAATGTGAGTTTTCTGTTTTATTGGCCTTTATTTACTTTCATTAGTACCAAATGTGCAATTTAGATTTTGTGTTCTGAGGATTTCGGATTCGTCGTTTATTTCGTTTCTTAGGATTTCGTATATGTTACGGGCTTGTCTAGTTTACTTCCACATAATGTAAATGTATAGAAGTAAGAAGGGTAACATATGACACTGTAACAATAATCGGAGATAGCTAAATTTCTTAGTGTACACCTCCCTCACGTCAGTGTTATATTGAATAAATCTTGTGTTATGTTTCTCACTGCTATATGTTACGTAGAAGGGAGAACCGTAGACAAAGCTTTTTGTATGACTGGTTCTTTCTTTCATTTGGTACTCCCTTGAGTGGTTAGTTTATTAGCCTTCACTTATCTTATGGAGCTTTTAATTAAATTGCCTTCATCCCACTTCCTCTCTTTTGTGGTTCTAAAGTTTTTATTAAATGCATATTTCAGGCCTATGCTTTAGTTTCAAAAGGAGTTCGCTTAGTATGTACCAACACAACTGGTAAAAATGTGAAGTCTGTGGTGCTTAAAACACAAGGAAGTGGTTCTCTTAAAGATAACATTATTACACTTTTTGGCATAAGCACCTTCAACTGCCTAGAACCACTGAGTTTATGTATATCAGATGGTTGCAAGGTTGAGGGGTTCCTGTCTAAGCCTGGACAAGGTAGTGGACGCAACTTGGGTGATAGACAATTCTTCTTTGTAAACGGTCGACCCGTTGATATGCCGAAAGTCACAAAGCTTGTGAATGAATTATACAGAGGTTCAAACTCCCAACAACATCCCATTGCAATAATGAATGTTACAGTTCCGACCGGAGCATGTGACGTCAATGTAACACCTGATAAAAGGAAAGTGTTCTTCTCGGATGAGAATTCCATATTGCACGTCCTAAGGGAGGGTTTACAGCAGATTTATTCCTCTAGTAATGCTCGTTTCTCTGTCAATGAAGTTGAGGAACCTACTGAGCCAGATACGTCTGAGTTGTGTTCTCCTCGGCAGAAATCCTATACAGCGTTGAAACCATTGTCCAAGAATGAGACCGTTCGTGAAGAAGGAAGCAATGACGAAAGCAATATAGTGGGTGATATTAGTGTCAAAACTGCTGGAGATGGAGCTGAGGACATTCATGATGTAGAAGGATTTACCTGTAGTAATAAAATAAGAGACTTCGCTCTAAGAGTACACAAAATAAAGAAGGCTGGTGATTGTAGGCAATTGAGAACTAATATTGATAGTATCACAGCTGGTCAAAAAGCTCTTCCTCTTTCAAAAATGGTTGAGAATGGAACTCCTGCAAATAAGGATTCATATGGTTGTTCAAGCTCTATTCAAACATTGCTTAATAGATATATTACTGTAAGTAAAAGGAAGCATGAAAATATTAGTGCGCCACTATCAGAAATGCCTGTCCTTAGAAACCAGACTCATCATTCTCAGTCAAAAAACAGTAACTCAGACGTGGATGCAGCAGTTTCCAGATCCCCAGTTGACTTTCACCAGGTTGACAATTCTCCTAAAGCAGATGACAGAGAGGCTTCCAAGTATTTTAAAACAGACATTACCTTCAGCAGAATTGCAAACCCACTTTCTTCTGGAGGTAGTACTAACGGCGGAGAATCAAAAGAGGTATGCGGTATTATGTGTGACCAAAATGACGTATTAAAGTATATATTGCTTGAATTGTATAACACGTTAAATACACGCGCGTAGCGCGTGTAACTAGTTAAGGTATAAATGGCTGTATCAATAAAATTAAGGCATAAATGGTGGAGAATGGCATGAATTGTGTTTTCATGCGAAACCAATTTTCTTGCTGCGACGTGTCGGAGTATTTTTTCTGGCATGTGGATCTGTAGTGTATTGTAGAAAATGATAAGAAAATCTTTTGGGTGAAGAATACAAGAAAGGAAACTTAAAAACTGAATTGTAGAAAATGATAAGAAAATATTTTAAGTGAAGAATAGAAGAAAGAAAACTTAAACAATTTGAAATATTAAGTTCTTGAAATCCGAAAGGATTAGGTGATAAATCCATGTTCAGCTATAGTTATTTGTACAGGGTCTCATTATTCTTGTTGTGGACCGAAATGCGTTGTTTGTCATGTTTATACATTGCTTTCATGTGGTCAATCCCTAGTCAAAAGTGAAGCAAAAGTGGTCACCAAGAAAAAGAGTTGGAATATAAGAAAGGAACTTTATGCTCAAGAAACTTGAAGATTTGTTTGTTGCAAAGTACATGTCCACATGGACATGCTCACACAGATATGTTGCATGATAAATATCACTATTTGTTAATATTAAAATTTTCTTCTGAAGGTTTTTTTTTTCTTTTTTTTTTCCTTGTCTGTGTACTTAGCTAGTTATGTTTTGGGTATAAGTTAGCTAATCTATTTACAGGATATTAACGCTGAAGAGGAAGGACTTCCCCTTGCTAATGTCACAACAATAGCTTCATCTGGTGGGGATCTCGGAAGTGTATCTGAAGACATTTCAGTTGAAGCTCCTTTACATTCTTCTGGTCAACAGCTAGATGTGTCTGAAGGGGTTTCAGTTCAAGATCCTTTACATTCTCCTGTTGAACTGCTGGATACTCCAAAGCGTTCTTCTGCTCTTGAGATATGTTCCACCTTGCAATTTAGTTTTCCAGACCTAAAGAAAAGGAGGCAGCAGAGGTTGGCTCAACTGCATTCCCGCAACGGAATATGTCAAAGGACCAATGCAAAAAGGTCTATATATCACTAATTTCCTGTAGAAATAGGAACCACTTGATATACATACATACATATATATATATATCTATATATTAACGTTTTCTATCCTGAATGATCAATTATAGATTCTATGCTGCTACTACACTAGAGCTTTCTCAGCCGGAAAATGAAGATCGGAAAGCTAGGGCTTTAGCTGCAGCTACTACAGAGTTGGAAAGACTTTTTAGAAAGGAAGATTTTGGTAGGATGAAGGTTGTTGTTTACATTAGTTTACAGTTTATGTTTTCATGTTTGTTTGATTGGGCGATCTGCTTTTGTTTTTTTATTTCTTTATTATCATTGTGGAAAGCCTGTTGCTTTTGTCAAGCATGGCAGAAATCTTTCCTGGGTTGTTGATCCTTGTCGATATATCTACATCTTTTCACCTGCCTGAGTTGCATTCCAGGAGGATTCAGATAAATTGTCAGATCTTGATAGGCTTCTATGCTGCAGTCCATCGTGAGTTGGAAAATGTTTGACATACTATACAGAATGGGAATGATGACTTGTACCATAATTTTTTGTAACCTTGTTACAAGTCCGATGTTTAGAAGGAGGGTACTGACATCACTTCACATATTTAGAAAAAAGAAATTCAATTAGGTTAAGTTTGCATTGCATGCAGCCAGAATGTGACAGGGTCATAGGAGAAAATAAGATCGTGAAGAGCTAGACAATTGAAGCAAAATATAAAACAAGTGAAGGCTGACTAGGAAGTATCTTAGTTAGAGTCTACAAAATGGAAAATGTACATCTTCTCATTTACTATCTTGTGCTGGGATGTTTAAGATCTCTGTCCCTATCTTATGGCACTTAATTATTTGCATGCACGTATAAAAACAAATGTTAGACCGGTCACCAACACTTGCTTTTCATTAGTAGGTAATTGGGCAATTCAACCTTGGATTCATCATTGGGAAGCTAGACCAAGATCTATTTATTGTGGATCAGGTAATTGACATCCATCTTATGGATTCCTTTAATTTCAATGTTCTGCATTTGTCTTTTGAGTGGTGCACATATCTAGACGTTTTCTTTTTCAAAATTCTTTGTTGTGGTTTTGATATTTTATCATATTTCAGCATGCTGCCGATGAAAAGTTCAATTTTGAGCGTTTGTCACAATCAACCATCTTAAACCTGCAGCCTTTGCTCCGGTAAGCATAAACTTTTTTTAGTTAGCTGTATTAAAAAAACCATGTTTTTCTCATGACACTGGTTACTGATCAGGTGTGATGAATTTTTAAAAAAAGAATAAACTTAAACAAAAGGAGAATAACCTTTCGTGTGTGCTAAAACCATGTTCTTGTTAAAGTAGGTTTTTGATCTTCTTTAATTTGAATTTTTGTTTCCTGACAATGGAAAGATCTCAGAGGTTCTTAACTATGCAATTGTACCCGTAGGCCATTAAGGTTGGAGTTATCTCCTGAAGAAGAAGTAGTAGCCTCCATGCACATGGATATAATCAGGTGCCAACTCTCTCTCTCTCTCTCTCTCTTAACCTGTACGTGATTCTAGTTATCCTCTTCATTTCTGTAGACCTTTGGAGCTGCTGTTTTCTGTTCACTTCTCGTAATAGTTGTTTAGTTTAACATTATCATCTTGATGCGCTTTTGAGCTGTTATTATTTGTTTTGGATAGTTATAACTTCTCTCCTAGTAGACTAGCATTATTATATGTATATGAGAAAACATAGTAATCTGTATGCATACAAACACACAAACACATTATTACTATATATGTGTATATGGTTGAATCTAGAGTTTGCATATAGTATCTAAGAGTTAAATTGGAAGAAGGTTATATGCTTCAGTGTTTGTTCTTTTTTATTCCTCTTTTAATTTTGATTTGATTGTTCACCCAATAATATTTTTCATCCAATGTAAAAGGGATCGCGGTTTTTTTTCATTTCAGGAAAAATGGATTTGCTTTGGAAGAAGATCCGAACGCACCACCAGGGCACCATTTTAAACTAAAAGCTGTACCCTTCAGTAAAAACATAACTTTTGGAGTTGAAGGTAATCCTGGATTTAAAATTAGCAGTTCAGTTTTTGAGTGCTTTTGTTCCTGCTATATTTTATTTTGTGGGAAGGCACGAACTATGTTTTGAGTAGACAGTTTATTGCTCTTAACTTATTCAAGAGGCAGGTCAACAGACCCACATTATAAGGATCAGGTCGATAGTAATTTTCTTATTTTGAGAACACAAACCGGAGTATAATCTTGTAAGGAAGTTTGTTACTTCGCCTGACGTTAAAGATTTACATTATTGTTCTCTTCAACAGATGTCAAGGACTTGATTTCTACTCTAGCTGATGATCACGGGGAATGCTCAATAATCGGTAGTTATAGAATGGACACTGCCGATTCCATTTGCCCGCCAAGAGTTCGTGCTATGCTGGCGTCACGCGCGTGCAGATCGTCCGTCATGATTGGGGATGCTCTCGGAAGAAATGAGATGCAGAAGGTTATGACAGACACTATTGCATTATCTTATGTTTGTCTGCTTGACATATGATTTGCACAGGATTCCAAACTGTTGCAAATTCTGATTCCATCAATTGTTTGCAGATACTTGAGCATTTGGCACGGCTGAAATCTCCTTGGAATTGTCCACATGGAAGGCCAACAATGCGCCATTTGGTAGATTTGACGACCATATATAAGAGGTCAGAAGAGAATGATGCTGATTCTTGATTGGATCTTTTCATAAACTTATTTATCTGGGTTTGGCTTATTTCCATCAAGTAACCTTGTACATTTTTTCCCAAAAAACAAAAAACAAAAAAGATAACCTTGTATATATAATTGCGTTACCTCAATCTCAACTACTGGCTCTCTTGATTATATGTAATTCCGCGGGGCCTGGGAGTTTGGAACCATTAATACTTTGAAGATTTCATTTCCCGTGATTTTTTTTTTTTTTTATTGGATCTTTTCATGAACTTATTTATCTGGGTTTGGCTTATTTCCATCAAGTAACCTTGTACATTTTTTTCCCAAAAAACAAAAAACAAAAAAGATAACCTTGTATATATAATTGCGTTACCTCAATCTCAACTACTGGCTCTCTTGATTATATGTAATTCCGCGGGGCCTGGGAGTTTGGAACCATTAATACTTTGAAGATTTCATTTCCCGTGATTTTTTTTTTTTTTTTAAGAATTCAATTCCCATCAGTTTATCAATATAAATATATGATACATATAAGTATATTTTATTTTTGGGTTTTAAATGTTTTGTTGTGGCCAAGGCGTATATCGATTTTGTACCATTTCGTTCCTGTAACTTCTAACTTTATACAAGAACCAATTGTTGGAGAAAGTCGTTTTCATTGATATTTGTTTTTTGGAAGACATCTTTGTTGCATTGAACCATTCGCTGTTAAATTCTCATAAAGATTTCACTTTGTTAATTCGAGTTTATAATTCGAGTTGAGATATGATTTTATGTGAGAATTTTTTACTGTAACAAAAAAGTTAAATGTGACTGTTTCTGAAAACTTTTTACTGTAGTAAAACTCAAATTTTAAACTTAAATCGATGAAGTGAACAGGACCGTAGTTTGAATTTTTTCGAAGTAAATGACTCATAACAGTACAGGCAAATGAAAAACTTAACCAACAAACATGAAAAAGTAATTCTCTCTACTTACAGCTTGGAATTTATATCAAATGTGCAATGCTAAAACTTCAAATAGTTACACGATAATTATATTTTAATATGTATTATTTCATATTAGTTGTAAAATCAATGATCTGCTTTTCTTAGTTGCAAAATCGCCACCCCGAAACTGGGGCAAATGATTTAAAAGACATTTAATTTTTTTTACTACAGTAAAAAGTTCTCACATAAAATTATGTCTCAATTCAAATTATAAACTCGAATCAACGAAGTGAACGATTAAGAAACTTGCAAATAGAAGACATAATTTGTATCGTGGGTTTGCAATATTTATTACGAAACACATCAACTGCATAACAAAAACTTTTTACCATCAACATTCTTAAGACAGTGTCTTTAATAAAAATAAAAATAAAAAGACGGTGGATCATTAAAACCAAAAAAAAAAAAACATAAGAATAATAATAATTATAATGATAATAATAATAATAATAAAATTTTAAGGCTTTATTTGAATTTATATATAAAATCATTTAGGTACTCATTTATCGCAAAGCATTTACTAGTATTTTGTATTTTTAATAATATTAAAAGAATACTTTTTTATTTAACAAAAAGATTTTAATATTTCAGAACTTATTCCAATTCAATGAGCATTTTTGTTATTTAATATCATATCTTAATATTTAATATTATATATTAAAGAGGACACTAACCAATTTTTAAGACAAAATGTCTATCCTACCCTCCTTATTAATTAATTACAAATTAATAAGTTTTTATAAAAATTCTGAAATTATTTTAAGACATTTAAAACTTAAAAAATTAGAATAAGTTGAAATGTTTTTACAAAATAATTTTTAAAGCTATTAGTTTCTATTTAATTATTTAAAAATGCAATTAGAACATTGTAATCTAAAAAATATTCCCAAAATACCCAAAAAAATATTTCTTCAAAGGTGAAAATGAATTATTTTATCCGTTCACTTCCTTATTTCGTCTATATTTAGTTCGAGTGTGACTAGAATTATATATTATTTATTATTAGAATTAGACTTTTCTTTAACAATGAATTACTTATAATTTTATTTAAATTGGGATTAAATTAAGCTTTTAACTATTTAATATTAACTTCAGAATTATTTTCCTGAAGTTTTTCTATTCCGCTACTGCATCAATAGCAAGAGAGACTTTCAATACAAATTTCAATTCGCCTTCGTCGTCTTCTGAATCGAAACCTCGGCAGTTCACTGTTCGTCGTCGTAGGTTTCTCTTCCCAATTCCCTCTCTACGATCTCTTTTTCCACTACCTTTGGCTAGGGTTTCTCTCCACTTAGGGTTTTATTATTCTCTACACTATCTTTTCGTCTTCAATGTCAAATTTTCCTGGATTTTCTGCTTTAGGTTGTTCTAAACTCTGGGTATGGCTTTCGATGCAGGTCGTTTCTCCTTGCTCTGTGGCCGCTCTATTGTCTTAAAACATGGTATGTTTGTTTTACTACTTTCTGTTTGGTTTCTCAGAAAACGAAGCGACCTAGAGGAAAGTTTAAAAAAGAAAAATAAAAAATCTGACTTTGAATTATATTTCGATAAATTGATGCTTTTCTGGGACTCCCAGAAGTTTTTACCTAAGGAAGTTTTGTGCTTTATTTCTTATTTCTTTTTTTTTTTCCTTTAATGTTTAATATATTGGTGTTGACCCTTGAAGTTTTTACTATTGTAGCTTCCTCTTTCTCTGCTTAAGACAGCCCAAGGGCATCCAATGGTAAGCTCTTTGATTTTGTTTATCTTTTGAGGCTTTCAGAATTTATTTTTCAAAGCAGTGGTTGATCAAAAAATATGCTTTTTTGTTTGGGATGTTTTGTGTGATAAAACAACAGTTGGTGGAACTGAAGAATGGGGAGACTTACAATGGGCATTTGGTTAATTGTGATACTTGGATGAACATTCATCTCCGTGAAGTAATTTGTACTTCTAAGGTACTACGTTACTCTTCTTATTATATCTTGTTTTGTAATTTTATTTTCTGTTGTTAACTTGTTATCATCGTGTGTTACTGATTTCTTCAATATGATAACCTCTAGGATGGAGACAGATTTTGGAGAATGCCTGAATGTTATATCCGTGGAAATACAATTAAGTATCTTCGAGTTCCTGACGAGGTATGATCCAACATTTTATGCAATATGTATGCTACATTGGTTTCTTGTTTTATTGTTTGACATTTTCTTGAGCATGTATATTTCATGTCGTCATTGCGAGTTTCAATAAAAGAACTTTGGCTATATTAGGATATTTTGATAAATCTACAATACTGGCGATTTCTGGTAATACTTGTTCTTAGGATCTTAATTCTAATGATATACAATTGTGCTTTTGAAAAGGCTTTGCTTTAGGCTGTCAATTCTTCCCATTTTTTAGGGACATGATGTTTGCTCTCTCCTGGTTTATTGTTTCTTCCTAAACGTTTGCAGCCTATTTACTTGGAAAATAAAAGATAGAAGGCCGTTGTGGATTTGATTTATGTAGCTTCTTTTGTCTTTTCCTTTCAGGTGATTGATAAAGTTCAAGAAGAAACTAAGAGTCGGTCAGGTACATGCATATCTATGAGATGATCTCAAAACTTTCTAGTTCTATAGCCTTCTGAGATGTAAAATTATTACCTTGACACTGAACTGGTCTATTGGGTGCTTTTATCAAAATTTTCCAGATAGAAAACCGCCTGGTGTAGGACGCGGCAGAGGAAGAGGTAGGGAGGATGGTGCTGGTGGAAGACCGGCTAAAGGTATTGGACGCGGACTAGATGATGGAGGTGCTAAAGGCCCTGGTGGAGGCCGAGGAAGGGGTGGACCAGGAGGAAGAACTGGTGGAAACAGAGGTAAAACTTGTGTAACCCCTTTCACCTGTTTTCTTTTCTCAAGTATCATGAAAAGTTTTTTCATTGTAGAAAGAAATAGGGTGTCATTAAATAAATTGATCGTTGTAAAGAGAAACAATTGTGCCTTGGAGTATATACTAATTATACTATTATGCACCCGTTAACATAACATAATGTGTGTGCTCTCATAATCACCGTTGTAGCTGCCCCTTAAGGCAATTTCTTAATAACTTGAAACCAACCCGTCTGAACTGCAACGTTAAGGGAAATGTATAATTACTTGAAAGCGACTTGTATATTAATCATACTTGTTTTCTTTCACTATTATTTTCATGGGCTAGCAGTTAAAACCCGGGCTTGAACTGGCAAATGCAGCTTTATTTGTTGAACTATTTGTTGCTTTGGCACGCTGCTCATGTGTTGGGTGTTTTGGTGACAGGTGGGGGCCGAGGACGAGCTTGATTGAGTTGGTGGCTGAAACAAAACTGGACGAGCATGCTACTTTCAGAGGCATTTTGTTTTTATGTCAAATGTCTCGAGTGTTTTACCTCTGATAAATCGTTGTATTATTCAGTTGGAAAGTCGGTTTTCATTAGCAAATGTAGCTAGTGTTAAAACATATTATTTTCGTTGCTTGGTTTGAGGAATATATGTTTGATTTTCTTTATGATTCCTGTTTGGCCATACTAAGAAAACTCTCTTCACACCCTCTTAAGTTCGTCATTCTTTAAGTATTTGGAATTGTATGACATTTGCCTTTATTTATTCCAATTAAATTGTCCTTTAGCTGTAAGGGGGTTTCTACTCGAATTTCTTTTCGAGTTAAATCTCACGAGTAATTCTTAAATTATAGGCCAATTATCCTCGACTTTTAAAATGTCCCAGAAAAAGTCAAGGAGCTACCAAATCAATTAGGTCTTGTTTTGAAGGTATATTTAAATTTAAATTATAATTCTGTTACAGTTTTTTTTTCAAAGTTTGAATTTTAAAATTTTTTCTCACAAAGTTCCCATCAATAAATTCAAATTATGATTTGAGTAAATCTTACAAACATGCCCTTATTAATAATTCCACCTATGCAACTGATTTAAAAAAAAAAAAAAAAAAGTGTTTCCTTACAATTATTGTGTTGTCTTTTTAACAATTGAAAAAAAAAAAATTTTTCAATTCAAATTATAATTCAAAATTCAAATTGATGCTTTATACAGAACTAAATGAGGATGATTTAAACCATTGATAATAGTGTAAACTCTTGATTTTAGAGTTGATACTTCCCTAAATTTACACAATCCGAATTATTTTCTGCAGTAAAAACAATTCAAATTGTATTTTTTCTCTCTCCTCAATTTCAAGCTTAAAAATGTGATAACTTCTTCATTTTAATTCTGATTGAGATGATTTTTTTTTAATGTGTTTATAACGATGAGAAGAACAAATCTCCATCTATATTGCATAGCTTTTAATGTCATTTACAATGATGTTTTATAAGATTTGTTACAAAACTCTAACGATAGTTTTCAACACTTTATACAAACACAGTTCAGATTTCATTCTCAATTCAAATTATAATTTATTTGTATATCTAAATACCAGTTCGAATTGCAATTAAAATCACCACAATTCAAATCAAATCACACAATTCAAACAACAAAACAAACAAAGCATGTGACATTCCATGTAAAAATTATAAAATTATAAAATTTAACCTTTACTAAACCAGGCATGGTCCTCGCTAGCCATTTTCTGTAAGATTTTTGTTATATGGACGAAAGTATTAATATGAGACCATTTGATAGATTGCCCCGTTCACTTTATCGATTCGAGTTTAGAATTTGAGTTTTACTACAGTAAAAAGTTATCAGAAACAGTCACATCTAACTTTTTTGTTACAGTAAAAAACTCTCATATAAAATCACATCTCAACTCGAATTACAAACTCAAATCAGCGAAATGAACGGGCCTCTCGAGAATGTTTGAAAAGTTGAGGGTTAAAATGAGATTTAACCTATAACTTGAAAACTATAAATACGGTTAACCCTTTCTATTTTATGGAACTTCGTTGTTTTTGCTCTTTAACTTTGTTGTACTGAAAGCGTCACTTTTGCTCCGCCGTTTTGCTTTTCCACAAGAAAAGAAAATTTTAATGTATTGATTTTTGGACCTGAAACACAGCAAGAGATCCAACAGGCACCATTGAGATTTTCTGATTTGTATAGAACATTTGAAAATTGAAATCGCTTATGAAAATTAAAATGATAAACAATAGACTTATACAACAAAATCAAGTAAAAAAAGTAAGGAGGATTATCGTTACAACTTACAAGAAACCAAAACGAAAATTTTTCAAAAATACAGGAAACATGTGGAGAAGTAATAAGAAAAACTAGTATTCAGATGCTCTACTAATACGGTTGATGTCTAATTTTCTTGCGATTCTTGGGTGACTTCATTACCAATGTACTTGAAATCCACGATCGATCAATCTCCGAAGAATCATCGGACAACCAGCAACACAAGCGGCCATCTTCACCGCCTGTCCAACCAAACTTGCCTTGGCTTTGAGTTGCCGAACCCGGAATGCTAGACATAGGCAACACACTCCTAACAATGTCTGTATGTCCACCTGCAAGTACTGCTTCAGGAGAACCTATACTTGCTGCTTCATTGTAACTTACAGGGAAGAAGCCCAAAGTGCCAGCATTCGTGCCACCAACCACCCAAAGTCGTTCCCCGTCTTGTGAGTAGTGACAATCAACAAAATAGTCAACCTGCCAAAACACAAGAACTTACTTCACTTGAATTGGTTGCAAAAGAAAATCAAGAAAATCGAATTATGCTCGGTAATATCTAATGATTTGTTATTACTTGGTCTTGATTCCAAGCATTGGAAGCTATCAAACGAGCATCGGGGAAATTAACTTCACTTCTTGCTTCTTTCCAGTCCCAAATACTACAAGAGCAGCATCAGTTAGAAATTGGGTTATAAAACAACTTTTTTCACGATAAACGAGAGAAAATAACCTTAAAACAATTTTGCAACTCATGAAATGTCAATGGATAAAAATTGATACCTTAACGTTTCAATATGGGTCAAGCACCAAAGTTTTTGAAATGTCTCTCCAAAAAAACCCACTTTACCTATTGAAGTCTCCACATTAATCACCTAGACGATCACAATATCCAAAATAAATAAATAAATAAAGATTATATGCAATATTTACAACAGAAAAACAACAATGTTGAAAACAAAACGCCCAAACTTACTGATTCCAGATTATCATCATCGTTAATGTCTCCATCTGTATCAAATATACATATTAATCCATCCACAGAAGCAGATGCAAGCTTGTTTACGTGGTTAGGAATGAAGTGTACCTACCAGCAATCAGTAAGTTGTTACGCGCACAGATACTTATATGACGAACCATCATATACACACAGCATATAAGCACGTTATCAGGGTTAAAAAAATAAAAATAAAAATAAAAATAGGGGTGTCAAGTGATTAAAAGAAAGGAACACAACATGATTTGACGAGTCTTTAATACATGCAAGCACAACAGTATGAATAAATTCGCAAACTGAGCAGACATAGTTGATATTCCAAATTCCTATACATAACCACTTCTAATTTTCTAAAAACTTCAAAATTTAAGTTTATAATAAAGGGCCAGTTGTAAGAGCAGGTAAATTCTACGTTGCAGTTTTATGTAAAACTTCCATTGAATATTTCACATATCATTGCATAAAGAATTTGGCATTAAAACTGGATTGTAATCTCACATCAAATTGAGCCACAAAAACAACAAATGCAATCATATTACGTACAGATATAAACTTCTATAGACAATCATATTTCAACCTGATCCTAATCAACTGAGAATTCAATATTAAGTTTTAACCTTCTATATGCTTGGAATTATGCTGATATTTCGTGTTCGATGTCAAACCAAGAATGAAGAGTTGTGTTACTGAATGGATAGTAACCATTAACAAACCTGAGTAACGTCCTCCACATGAGACTCCTCCAGACATGCAACTTGTTTCTTGTTCCTCCAGTCCCAAAAGAGTATCTATTTAACAGGTCAATACGCAAAAAGCCAGCAACAAAGAAGAAAGAATCAAATCTCTGCCTGAGCAGACTGGGAGGCAATAACTCATGATTCCTTGAAGCATCATCCCAAAACTAAAACTCACTTTTCCTTCGGAATGAAATAGACAGAAGTCTAGAGTAAAAAATACAACGTTTGAGAAATACAAGCATAAAATATATGAAGTGGCATACTAACTACACACCTGAGCTTTACATCCTGCGGCTAGAAGATTATCAGTGGATCCTCCAAATGAGAAGCTAAATATCTCTTGAGAAGAACCAGCACTTACGGATGAGACCTGTAATATTTAATTTAACAATGAGTAAAATTATGCATGCCCACTAAATAAAAGAGTGGAAATACATATTTGACCATCAAAAATAAAGACTCGTCACTCATTTAGTGCCTGTTTTGCATTGCTTTTTAACTAGAATTTGAAACCACATTTATAAAAGAGCTCAATAGGTTGAAAATAATATTTAAATATACTAATTAAGCTATAAACATATTAGAATGAAGCTAATTAAGCCTTTCTAAATTTCCATTACATGTTTCAAAGTATCATTAAAAGCATTTTTTCGAAACTCCATATCTTGTGGTTTTGATAAGAAGTTCTTTTGGAAGTCGCACAAACACCCCAGTGAAGTAGCTTTTCTTTAACGAATCTTACTCAACTTCTGATATACGTTAGGGGCCTATTTGGCGTTTGGCTTTCCCAGTCTAAAAGCTACTCTGGGAAGTGTTTGAACCTTTGGTCGTCTAGAATTACTTCCAGTCAGAGTCAGAAAATATAGCTTTTCGAAAAACTCATCTAAAAAAAAAAAAAAAAAAAAAAAAAAAAATTAAAATTCTTTATCAAGATTTTATAAACTTTACTCTTAAAAATTTTTGCTTACTAGATAATTTGAACAAAATTATATCATTAATCACTTTACAAACTCTTGATTCAAACACTAACTACAAATCCATAGCTTTGCTTTTCTTCTTCTACTGAGCAAAAGCAATGCCAAACGGAAAAATTCTACAACACTAACTCAAACGAACTGTTCTCTGAGAAGCCACGCAACTATCTTTTTTTCTCAAAAGCAAATTTCCAGATAGCAATGCCAAACAAAGGGCCTTAATGGGTTAAAAGTCGAACCACAAAATCTCAAGATGAAACAACATATTCCATCATAAAATACTGAACACAAGCATCAGCACAACAAACAAACAAACATAGAGAAAATCCAACCTGTTGGAATGTACGCGTATCCCAAGCTCTAATGGTTCCATCAGAGGAACAAGAGTGCAAAACATGTGGGGTTGACGGACCAGAGAAATAAATGTGGTTTATGGTATCAGAGTGACCTTTGCACTCTCCGTAGAACTGACCCGTCACCGGCGAATAAAGCTTCACAACGTTCGTCGACAACGACACCGCCATTGAACTCCAATCATTCCTTTCATTAAATTTCTATGCTTTCTCAGTTTTCCAATGACAAAAAAGCAGCACAAAAACGAGGTTGAAGCATAAAACCAAAGAAAGAGACATACTTGGGGACGATTTGGAAAACATAGTCTTCTCCGAAACTTGTTTGGATGGAGTTTTTTAGTCCGACCCGATTGGAAGAGCTTGGATTGGAGTGAGGATGTTCCTCGACTTCCATGGCCGTGGCTTCTTCCATGTCGCTCTCGCTCTGTGTTTCTTGCCAAAGTGGAGCTGTGAGCTATGAAAGGGAAGGGAAGGAAAGGCAGAACTCGGAAGCAGAAAAGAAAAACTTGGGTTTTTAGGGTTTTAGATCTTCTCAGGTGAAAACCACCTAACTGACTTTTCTAGCCAATAAATTCTTGCCATGTCATGTTTGACTAATGTCACATGTTCTATAGAGTCCTGTCATGGTTCGAACGGGAGCACCACCCATAAATATAACATGAGTTCTATTTCGTAGGGTTCACGGGTTAGATTTGCTTATTATTATTAATGACGGTGTTTAATACTTCAAATATTTTTTAATAAACAGTTGATGTTCGTTAAAAATTCACCAAACTAATTAAACTGATCAAACCAATCAAATTAAACCTATTCAAAACAAAAATTTATCATAAAACAAAGAATTTGAAAGATTTAGAACACAAAAGAGAAAAGAAGGGGTTACAAAAATACAAAAAAGAAAAAGAACAACTAATATCAGTAACCATTCATTAACCATTATATTCTCATAGATTACTATAGAATTTAAATAAGTATACTTAATTTATTATATGTTATTATGTTTCTCATAGACTTTCTTTGCTCATCTATTTCCCATAAACTTGTATATTCCGTCTTATGAATTTGAATGCTTGGTGTATTATGGTCTTACAAAAAATTATGAATTTGAGTGCTTTATTTTTGTCATGGATATTCAATGCCTAACTTTCAATGTGTTTTTTATGTTATCAATTGAATACTTCTCGAGGATATTTATAATTAAGAAACATATGAACGTTTATTATTGTAAAATTTTGGTTCTAATTCTAGTTGAGAATAATTTCATAATTACTAGTTCAAACTAAATAAAATATCAAATCAGACTTTCTATTCAGTTTGACATCCTATAATAATTTTGGTTTGCACAGGCTTTCTGTATCCTTCAAGTGCTTTGGTTCAGTTTGATAATTAATAATATTAGTTTGCAGATGTTTGGTTTGGTTAAACAATATTAGTAACGAATGGTTTTGTTAAACATTTTTAGTAACAAAATAAGAAGCGTGAAACTAGCCAGAATGTGTGAAGGACATATTAAGGGGTAAAAATGAAGAAATTCTTTGGTAGCCAAAGAGTATCAAATTATAATGTGAACATCCAATGAAGTTAATATAAATAATATGAAAAATACACAATATATCATATTTCACAACTATGTTTGAAGTGAATAGCATTTTTTTTAATCTTAGTAAATAATAGCATATTTTAAATGCACATGTTGAAAAAATATGTTGTTTTTAGGGCCCGTTCATTTCGCTGATTCGAGTTTAGAATTCGAGTTTTGCTACAGTAAAAAGCTCTCACAAACAATCACATCTAACTTTTTTGCTACAGTAAAAAACTCACATAAAATCACATCTCAACTCGAATCAGCGAACTAAACGGGCCAAGTTCTCATAAACAGTCATATCTAACTTTTTAACTACAGTAAAAAGTTTTCACATAAAATCACATCTTAACTTGAATTACAAACTCAAATCAACGAAGTGAACGGGCTACCAATTTACCTATCCAACACTACTAGGCTTTCTATCTCATTTCTTTGACTCTTTCTCCACAGTCGCCCATTCTCTCTCCCTCAAACCCTCTCTTCTTCCTTTCTTCTGCAACACAACCCCTCTCTCTCTCTTCCGTTCACTGCAAATATGCATCACAGTGCAGATCCGGTCCAAGAAAACCGCCATCATCGTCAAAGCGTTGCCATCACCGTCGAAGTTCGTAGATTTGTTGCCATCACCGTCGAAGTTCGGAGGTTTCCATCGCTATTATCGTTGGTCTAGTTCAGCACTACCTCCAGCCCCATATTTTTTGATAAATATGAGATTTACTAATATTTGTAAATACGGTATTTTTGTAAATACAATATTGACGTTGGAATCAACGACCAAATTTTTTAATAAATATAATATTTATTAATAAATAAATATTTACTAATAAATATAATATTTATCGATAATAAACTTAATTATAATCTACCTATTTTAAAAAATATACTATAATTTATTTATTTTTTTTAAAAAAATGTTTAAGAGAGAGATGTGAGGTGAAAAAAGATTTAGAAGTATTTTTTAATTTTTAATAATATTTAAAACAAAATTTCAAATTATACTATAACCTTCCAGTTTTTAAAATCATGTTATAATTTACTAATCACCATACTAATTATGCTATATCCGTCTTTATCCCATAAAAATATCCCTCTTTATCCCATAAAAACATGACACTTATGCAAATATTAAGTAATAAATACATTTATTGGAGATTATTAATCACGACCGTTAAACGTAAATCAAACCGTGGATATCATATAGAGATGGATACTATGAAAGAATTCTTTGAGCAATATCCCTATATCTTCCAGGAAACCTTCGACGGTCATATATATAGCCCAACCATCAGCAGTTTGCAGAAATCTGTTCTTTGTTCAGCTGAAAATGCATTTCAATTAAGGCATGCAATAAGGTATCAACTTTCATGCCCTACTGTAGAAAAGAATTCTATCTAAACAAGAAACCAGAGAGGCTTAAGCATATTATATGAGTAAAAAATCACTGCCAACCAGAAAGTGCATCCACCATCATTAAGCCAAGCCCTACAAATAACATTATCCCAACTATTACGAGTCTATTAAACCAGGGATTACATGGATGATCCACAAAATATGGCAAATATCAAACCTCAAACGGTTAGAATACACATCCCGTCACAGAAAACGAAAAAAATCATCCCACGGCAACAATGCCATGGTTGACCTCATAAGTACTTTTTAAACCAACACGAAGTTTTATGTGCTCGGTGCGGCTTCCTTTTTCTCTTGTGAAGAACCACCTTCACTTGTATCAGCAGGTTTCTCATTTGGCTTCGCCACTTCTTGCTCTACAGCACACAAACGATGCATATCAATACAGCAAGGGATGGAAGAACAAAGAGTCTATAACTTATACTGAATGCACGCAAGCATTTGATACATAAAGAAAAAGTTTTCCATTGCCATATTTTTCCTATTGAGTATATGGACAAAAGTTGGAAGTGAGGTATTTTCACAACGCTCCATAACTCAATAAACGGTCATCTCTTATAATTAAGAACACTTCAAAAATGACTTGAGACAGATAAACGATTCCAAAACAAGAATTCTCTCTTTTAGAGGTCAGCTTTTTCTTTTAGAGGTGTTTAAATGAAATACTAAAGATCATTTTAACTGCTGGAAACTCTTTCGGGAGAAGCCAAGTACACATGGTCTTCTCGCTACAAAAAACTATCACAAACACAAACCACGAAGCTGTTTTAAAGTTATCAAAAAAATTGTGTTTAAATACTTACATTTCTATTAAAGAAAAAGCCATAAACAAATTTAAAAATAAAAATAAAAAATCATTTGTCATAGAAGACTCAAATTTTGTTTATCCACATGATGACTAAAGTTACACTTTTTACTTCTCTTTTTCTACCATGTAAAATCAAATGCCAAAGTTATCAAACAACCCGCCAACAGCAAGTTTATGGCCTAGTTACCTTCATCATCACTATCATCGAAGTCCTCACCCATGGCATCATCACCCAAGCCGCCCATACCACCCAAGCCGCCCATACCACCCAAGCCGCCCATGCCACCCATACCTCCCATGTTAGCAAAATTCTGAAAATAATAGCAGAAGTTAGCACAAGCCCGAAGCATAAACTCATTTACAAACAACAACAAAGCCCATACGCTGATGAGTACTAACCGAGAAATCCATACCGCCCAAGTCCAAGTCACCAACACCTAATCACAAGAACCAAGCAACTAAGCATGTTAACTTTTGAAATTTTAAACAAGACAGCAGCAGGAAAATGCAAGAATCATCCATTACCATTAGGAGCACTATTATCATCATCATCATCAACCCATTTATCCCAATCTACTTTGACGTAATGGGGTAGCTTTCCATCTCCACGCAATAGTTTCTTCCACCATGCCTTCTCCGCCTTCTCCAACACGCAGAATATATTCCTCACTCCAATGTTGATTTTGCTTTCCTACACAAAACATTACGAAAACAAGTTGAAAAACAGGATATTAAAAAATCATCATTGTAAAATTTCCTAAAAATTATCTCCTGTCACTAGTGAGTGACTAATGGCAAGCAAAATTCCACATAAAGACTCATAAAAAGAAAGACCAGCTAAAGAGTAAAGGACTTCATTAACAGCATATTATAGACAAACACACACACACAATAGGCCAACTAGTTTAATTACAAGTATGGTGACATGACTAAGGATGGTTTCAGGACCTAATTACAAAACTCACATAATGACGAAAGTATACCACTTACCTCCACATTGACCTTATCAAAGAGTTCCAAGTTAAGTTCATACAGGTTGTTGTCTGCACCGGCAGTGGCAGAGAAGGTGTATGGTGACATGACTAAGGATGGTTTCAGGACCTAATTACAACACTCACATAATGACGAAAATATACCACTTACCTCCACATTGACCTTATCAAAGAGTTCCAAGTTCAGTTCATACAGGTTGTTGTCTGCACCAGCAGTGGCAGAGAAGGTAAAGACTCCACTTGGGTCGAGATTAACCTTGACCTCTTTTGCATCAGGTAGTGAAACAGTCAAATAAACCTTGTCCTCTCTCTGGGCCCACTTCACCTCAGGATGACGACTACACAACGCAGCATTTTCAAGAGGCCAAATTATTACACAAACAAAACATGAAAGACACTTTCGACACTACGAAATAAAACCCCAAGACAAGAACATTTTGCAGTTAATAAAGCTTGTAACAAACTAATCACCATTGTCAAATTCCTAATTTGGTTCAATAACTGGCCTACAAAGCAGAGGAGCGCAAGCCTATTACTTATTCAAAATCCATATACAAATATTTCCTAATAAAGCGTCGAAAGAAAATCCAAGCATAACATCAAAGGGGGAAAAATGAGAGAAGCTAAAGTAAATCTCACCAAACAACCATTTCCAAATATTTTAAAACCATTTCCAGAGTTTAATCACCTTGATTAACTCGAACAATAAATACGAATCGAACCATTTTATTAGTTACTTTCCCGGAAACCAAACAGGGTTTATACAAGAAAACCAAAAGCAGTAACGAGAATACAAAATCGAAAACGTTTGCGGCGTCGAAACGAAAGATGAGAGAAGAGAGATGAGAGATCACAGAGAGAGAGAGAGAGAGAGAGAGAGAGAGAGAGAGATGTTACCTCATAGTTTCCTGGAAAGGGAAAGAAGTAAAACCCTAGAAAATAGAAAGAGAAGCAGAGGAAGCGTGAGTATCGGAGTTTCCTTAGAGACAGCGTAGCGGCAGAAGATAATTAAAAGGGAAGAGAGCGTACGCGACACTTCTAGTATATTCTTCACCTTGTGTTCTTTTATTTTAATTTTTCGTACAATGCACTCGCTCATACCTTTAACTTTTGTCTTCTACCTCTACCTGGGTTACTCCGGCCCATTCTACAAATTGGGCTTATTCGCAGCTTCGATAAGAAAGATCATCTTTGGGCTTGTTGCGCCCAATATGAGATTATTAGAGGGTAATCTTTACAAATACTGTTAGTTATCATTTTTACCCTTTACTCTTGATTTATAACTTTGTTTTATCAAATAGTTACACTAAAAAAAAGATATTTATCAAGAATAAAGGGTCAAAGTTCAGATTCATGCACTCTTAAGGATAAATTCTCTATTTTTTCTTGTTGTGTGGTGGTGTTGGTGGGTGGAGAAATGAGACAAATACCTCTTTAGAGTATATGGGTCTAAATTTTTAATCCTTTAATATCATTTTTAGTTAAATTATTATATAAGTTAAAACAGTATTAATCAAGAGTAAATGATAAAATTCAGAGACATACACTCTAAGAGCACGTTTATCAAACTGTAAAAGAATGTAATGAAAAACGTAATAGGATTGGAAAGGAAAGTAAAGTAACAGGATTAAGGGTCATTCATTCCCTTTCAGTGTTTACTTGACTATTAGATGGAGTAATGGAAAGAATCTTATTCATTTTCTTATATTTACTAAAATTAATAATAACAATGTTACGAATAAAATCACTAATATGTTCTTTTACACAATTTAATATCCATTAACTATTTAGTAATTCATTAGGGGTATATAAGTAAATTTAGCATTTATTCTTTTTGACAAGTAATCAATACTAAAAGGGTACAATGATTGACATTCTCTATCCTCATTCTTTATATTGTCTAGACTCACTAAATGTTTATTACTAATTTTGTAAGTAAACACATTATTAAATTAGAAAGGAATCACTGCTTATTTTTCTCTTTCCTTTTAATGCAAAGTCATTATCTGTTGGATGCTACCCTTTGCGACTATAGTGAGTGTTTTGCTACCAAGTGGATTCTTCTATCTCCAGAAAAGTTTCCTCCAAGCAAGTTTTGTTCTCTTTTGGATTTAGGTATCATGGTAATTTGGCAACCTAACTTGCGAGTTGCTTTCATATTGTGGCCCCGTAGATTAAGTTAGATAATTTATGAGCTCGACCACAAAGTTTCAACGTAAGATGTTGGTAGTCTCTGGTCGATGACTATAATGTATCACTGTAGGATATTGACGATCACCGGTTATTATGACAAAATACCTCCTAATATAACAGTTGGATACCGATGGTCACCGATGCGATATATTTCATATTCAAATATATTAGAGTGACATTTTCTGTAACAACTTTTTTATCATAGAAAAATCATTTCAAGGCTTACTTTTGTCGTATTTCTCTCTGAATATTAACAAAAATGTCACAAATCCATTATTTGTTTGACTTGTGCCATGAGAAAAAAAAATATTTGCTGAGAATGTCATATCATGTCATACTACCCGTATTTAGAATACAAAATATACCTCTAATATTATTATATTAGCGAGAGACGATATCTTTGTTGGTAACCAAATCGAATTTGAATGCGGAAGCGTGGCGGGGAGACGGATGGTGTATAACAAAAATTTCATAAAACTTTTGAGATACTCTATAGATGTGATTAATTTATGCACAAATAAATTAATCACATTAATTTATATGTTAAGAACTCAATTAGGAAAAATACATGGAGGCCGACTCGGATTATAACTTGAGTTCTTTGACCACGAATAGTCCTTGCTCCAATTTTTGTGTTTAGAAAATCAAAATCTTACACGTCAATTCCTTGATTCCATGTAGACATATGTATGGATACTTGTGAGACAAAACATGTTTTAAAAAACACTAGAATTTTCACAAACACCAACGCATCCACGATGTGCAATTTTTTTTAAGAAAAATTTTCCTTTCTTTTTCCTTTTGAGAAATTCGGCTACACTCACAAGTTAGGGCAGAAAAATGTTTTCAAAAATTTTTTGTGCACAATTTTCTATCATTCTCATATTTAAAAAGTAGAAGTCAAACTTCAAAAAGGAATCAAATCTCTATCTCCTATTTGAATTTTGAACAAAAAATTTCCCTCTTCTTTATCCATTGTGGCCGGCCACCCCTTAGGGTTTTTACCTTGTGTGTGGCACCGATTACAGATAGGGAAGGAAGAGAAATCATCCTTTATCCTCTAGTCCAATTTTAATTCAAATTCAAATTCGAATTTAAGTCAAACTCAAATTAATTTGAATTCTAAATTGAACAACTTATCAAATAAGTTTAAAAGGATAAATTTAAATTATGTTCATGATTCAAATTCAAATTTAAATAATCACATTATTTAAATAATAATTAATTCTCAATTAATTCTTTTTCGAGTATTTAATTTTAGAATTCCATAATTCTAAAATTCTCATTTTGTCATTTGTGTCTGGTAGAATTACAATGACGACGCGGGGACTAATGGACCTATAATCCCGAGCTCCAATAAAATTAATAATTAAGTAAAAACTTTAATTAATAAATTAATTCTATTAATTCCAATAGTTACTCCACTATAAACTTGGAATTGAACTCTCGAAATTATAGACATTAATTACTTCTAAACTATGAAGTGTCCATTTGATATAGTCATTGCATATAGATCAATCATCCATAAATAATTCATAATTAGAG